AAGGAATCTGCACAGGTTGAGTGCACTGTGGACATGGGCTACGTGTAAAACTGTCTTGAGAAATCATGAAGCAGGTTACTATCCAGTAGCTCCATGCTTCCTGAGAGAAAAAGTTAATTTCTTACATGTAATATTTTATAGATTTGAGGTCTGGGCTGAGAATCTTGGAATTTCATCAGTTTGAACAGTAACTATATATAATATACTGTTTTTCATTTTTATGAAATCCTGTAGGAAAATTTCTAAATAAAACTCAGTGTCTATTAACTGGGATATGGAGGCTGAAAGAAGTGATACTAATTGTAATAAAACTAATTATACAAGAAATATGAGGGTTTTAAAAACCCAAGGAACAAAAGTAATGCAGTCAAATGGTCCATTTGGCATTGTGGTCAATACTTACATGGTTGGAAAATATAAGTAGTTTATGGGTGTGGAAATTTCAGTTAGAAGTGCAAAGTCATAATCTACTTTTACAGCATTAAAGTAGAAATAATAAGTTAGAAAGTGGAAGAGAAGGAAGAGACTTGTTACTTTCATTATAAACTGTTTAAAGTTCTCTGGAAATAAATATAATACATGGAATTACAAAGGAAGCTGAGCATGGTGGCACACCCCAGTAATCCCAGTGACTCAGGGGTCTAAGGCAGGAGAATAGCAAGTTGAAAGCTAGCCTCAGCAAATTAGCAAGGCCCTAGGTAACTTAGACATACCCTGTCTCAAATAGATGATAGATAGATAGATAGATAGATAGATAGATAGATAGATAGATAGATAGACGGACTGGAGAAGTGGCTGAGTGGTTAAGTGCCCCTGGGTTCATTCCCGGGTACCAAAAAAAAAAAAAAAAATACAAAGGAGGGTAGGGAAGAATTAATACCAGAGACACAATTATAGCATGAAAAAGGAAGATCTGAGAGACTATACGTAGCCAAAAAATTGGGAAATTTTTGACAAAAAGTCAATAAATGAGGCCTGTCATAAATCTGTATAAGAAACAGACACAGAAGAATATTGGGTCAGACTGACCAATTTGAGAATGGACAATAGTTAGAAACACACATTAGATCATTTTTAATACCGTGTGATGCATTATTTTATATATTTCTCAATTATGCAGAAAATTAAAAAGTAAAAATATAACAGAATTTTAAATGGTAATTGTTTTATGGTCCCTTTGGCTCTGAGGGGCTGTACTTTTGTACTTTCAATCTTATGTTTAAGAAAGAAATTTATTTTCATATCTCCATTTAAATATCTATGTAACAGTGACTATTGAATGTATCAAGTAATCTTTTGCACATGTTTTGTGACTACAATGGAAACATTACTATTTTTTCTTTTCTTTTCTTTTCTCTTCTTCTTAACTTTTCCAGTTTGTGTACAACTTCAAGCATCTGGTTTGTTTCATTTTCCAGCTACCACTAGGTGTCATCTTCAAAAAAGTAGTTTGTATTGTTAGTTTTTCATATCACATGGAAATGAGACTTCCATTTATTTTTGTAAGTCCTGTGAGGTTTGAAGGAAACAGGAAGAAATGGCACCCTGTTTTTATAAGTATTTTATACTAACAAAGATTTCTACCTCAATTCCAAATTAGTGGGCACTGTCCAGTGCCTCTTTTCTTAGAATACATACCTATTGATCATTCCCCTTGACATTTTAGATTCTGCTCAGTATGTTTTCTGGTTCTGCTCTCAGGTACTCATGATAATTATCAGTACTCTAAACTTGATCAGCTTCTGTGGCCCAACTGCTTTCCCATGCTACTTCCAGTTTCTGACTCTTTTCTCCTCATCTGACACAGTGTCCCTTAGTGCTCCCTTAGTCATTGATGACGTACATATTTCCTCCTCTGAGTGCCTGACCTACATATAAGCATGGGGATGTGCCATGAGCATTTTATACTTAACTTGCCAAAAACTGAATTTATTTTTTTCCTAGTCTGACTACAGTGTGCTTCCTGATGTCCTAAGATAACACTATACATGGCATGTAGCAGTGATTTGAAATTTCAGTGTATGGAAGGCCTGTTAGGACACAGACTGCTGTGTCCCAAATGTAAAGTTTCTGATTCAGTGGGTCTGGGTTGGAGACTATGAAGGACTGTGCATTTCTAACAAGTTCCAGAGAGAACTGGTGGCTTGACAACTGTTGAAAAACCATTATCACACAGAAATCATTTCATATTTGTTAGATCCATAATTACTATGCATTAACAAATGGTTAAAATAAGTAATATATACTCAAAAGTCAAATCTAGCATTAGAAATTTTCACAGAAGTTTGCAACTTTGATCTGAAAGAACAAGGAAGATCATTGAATCTAACACCCTCTCATTATAGGTTAGTAAACCAGGTGTAGAGGTGAAATGACTTATGTGAGGAAAAATAACTAGACCCAATTAACCCTGTTTTTCTATAAAACTAAAATAGTTTCTATTTAGCTATTCAAGGATTATGTTTCCAATTCCAGAGATGAATGTTGAATAGATTATATTTTCCCTATATGAGTGGGCCTCCAAATGAATAAAAAAACTACTGTTTTAGTCCGCCTCTCCATATTCTTGAGATGCATGGCAAAGGAAGGAGGAATGTAAAACATAGTATATCAGTTAAATTTACAGATTTTACTATTCCAAGCAGTTGGGCAAAGCAGTGTGTTGTGGAAAGGAAGCAGAGATTTTTGTATTTGATCCCAAAGAAAGACGAATCCTTCGTTAGGACTGAAACACGTACAAAGAGGTATACCAGTGAATATCAGAATTTTTGCAGTTCTGAAATCTTAAGCTGTTTCGTTGTTTTCCCAAGATTAGATATTTGCAGGAGTCACCAGACTCCACAGAGTATACTCCCAAGACATGTTTATTTAAAGTCAAAGAACAAAATGGAGCAAGAGAAAGAGAATAGAGATAAGCATTCAGGTCCAAGAGTCTTCAGTTTCCTGTGGGCCCAATCTTGGGGCAACAGGAATATGCTGTCTGAGTCTCTCTCATGAGCAGCTAAGGTCTCTGCAAGTAATCTTGGCTCAGCTATGTTCTCTGCAAAGAGATTCCAAATGTGGCTCACTGTAGATATTCAGTTAAGCCAATCTAAGCAAGCCTCATGAACTAGTTGCAAATTATTAGTGCAGAAGCAAACCTTGGGGGTCTCCAGTAGAGTTTCAGACTCTAAACATGTGTTACATATCCCACTGATATCTTTTTTGGCCAAGTGTATGAACCCAATACATAGATATTTCCATAAATAAAGACAGAGCTTTTCTAATACAGTTACATATCAACTTTATCTTGTATTGTAGGCTTATAGATAAAGTCACTGAAACTATTTTATATGGAGCAGCTGCATGAGAAGCTAGGCAGACATAATCCCAGGTTCTAGAAGTAGGCTACCAAAGCTAGATAGATGTATGTCTTTTGAGCTCTCCAGGGAAAATGAATGCATTTTTTTCAAGTATTTACTAGAAACTACTTATATACAATGGCAGTGATGCTTTGGTGCCTAAATTCAAATTGCTATATTATAATCTAGTTGCTTCTAAGAGATACATGGGATTTCCAGCTTTAAATACTAGGACAACAGTATGGTTACCAAATCAAGTCTTGTGATAAAGTGATATTTTCTTCGAGGGTTCTATTCTTCAAAAAGGAATTTTCAAACAATATGGTTTTTTTAAATGAAAGAAAAATTTGTAGGAAGAAATTGAAGAAATACAATACAGTATGTTGATTTTTGTCATTTCCCAGTTACCAATTACCAATTAGAATAGGCATGGACAAAGAATCAAGAGACCTAAGTCTTTTAGCCAAAGCTCTGTTATCAAGAAAAGATCTTAGATATTTTTCCATATAAAATATGTTAATTRTGTTCTATTTATAGGAATACTCATTACAGTATCTTCATCCAGTTTTATTACAGACTTTTAAATTTTTCCTCCATTCAATCATTAGTAATTTTTAGGTTTACATTCCTTGTTTTCAAAGTGTGGCCTTATGACTGTCTGCGGTAGAAAGACCTAGGGAATATTTCTCAAACTTTAATGTGTATATGATCTACCTGGGGATTTTTTAAAGATTTAGATTCTGATTACATATGTCTGGGGTTAGGTCTGAAATTCTTCTCTTCATGTAAGCTCCTAGGTAATACCCATTCTTCTATGATCCTGTGTGTTTAGCAAAGATGTTACTTTTTAAAAGATTGTGTACGTGCCTGTGTGTGTAAATATGAACAGGTCTGTCCGCCACTGATCTCAATCTCTGAGTTTAGGCCTGAAGATTTGCCTTCCCCCAAAGAAACCCCTCCCCAAGTCATATAAACTATCAAGTTTAAGAACTAATTTCTTGAATAAAATATCTAAAGTAACCTTCAGTTTTAAAATAATGCAGAGCTACTCTCATCCTGACACTCCCTTAAACTCTAAATTGGAAGCCTGACATATCCTGTTTCTTAGTTTTGAGCACTTTATTGGGCATCTTTAGTTGCTTAAGCATCTATGACTTTCAAACAACTGCCAAGCTCTCTGCCTTTAGATTCAAAATTTAATTAGGTTCAGATATTTTGTTGGAAGGTTTAAAAGAAAACCTTTTGTACTTTTCAAAGTTACAAGATTCTTTTTTCCTTCAACCGAAGAATCAAGCAGCAATATTATATTTCTTTTAGTACTCAGCTAGAAAAAAACAGCATCCTGTCTTACATATTTTTTTATTCCTGTCCCTTCACTGGCCTTTTTGACCTCACACTCTCAAATGTACTCTGAAGTCCTTTCATGCCTCTTTTCCACATTTCAGCACTCTATTCTGCTACCTAAATAAAATGCCTGACACAGTATGTGACACCAAGTAGGCACACAGGAACCTAGTACATGAGTTCCCTGCTCTTAACGGAGTTCTTCCTTTTGTCATCAGTTATTCAAATGTTTTTCAATATAGCACAAGAAAGCAATGTGATGATTTCTCTCCCAGCCTGACAATGTTTCTGATTTTCTTCTTCCTTGCTTTGCAGTATAAGCAAGTGGAACAATACATGTCCTTCCATAAATTACCAGCAGATATGCGTCAGAAGATACATGATTACTATGAACACAGATACCAAGGCAAAATCTTCGATGAAGAAAATATTCTCAATGAACTTAATGATCCTCTGAGAGAGGTAAGATTTATTGTTCTCGATCTTCGTGATGTATTGTCATTGTTTATTTCTTCTTTTCTTTGGAAATCCTCTGGTTTATGTTATAACACCACTCAAAATAAAAACCGGAACTAAATGCTAAGATTTTTTTCACCTTAATTCTCATTWATTTTTCTCTCATTCAAAAGCCAAAAAGAAAAACAAAACTTTCAATTTTTAACAAAAAAGTACCTGAAAATGATTTTTCTAACTATGATTCTCTGAGTATTTTGTTTGTCTTCCTGGATCCTCCAATTTTTTTCTTATGGCTTCATTGTCTGTGCCTTCCCAATCTCATGCTTACAAAAACTTTTCATATATCTTAAATTTTTGTTTTGTTTTGTTTTGRTTTCTACTCTTCCCATCTTCATTTTCTCTCATCATCTTGTAGACACTGATCAACAGCTGCTGACCTTATGGAATCAATATATTTCTTTCTTTCTTTCTTTTCTTTTCCTCTTTTCTTTTTTCTTTTTCATTTTTTTAAGAATTTATTTTATTTTTTCCCTTAGTTGTTGATGGACCTTTATTTTATTTATTTATTTTTTTGTTGTGCTGAGGATTGAACCCAGTGCCTCATACATGCTAGGCAAGCACTCTACCACTGAGCCACAGCCCCAGTCTTGAAAGCAATCTATTTCTTATAACCTAGTTAAAATACTTCACAACATCATTAGCCACTTCTTGTCATATTACCTTCCTCCCATCCCTCTCAAGAATCCTGCCTTCTGTCCGCAGCACATGCAGATCACTACRAGACTGAAGGAGAATGCAGCAGGCTCTACTTCTTACAGTGCTCTCTGCTTTCTTCTATTACCAATTTTCTCTAAAATTTCCACATAATTGCTGCATTGWGATTGGTGTCTACATCTTTGCTTTGAAAGTTATCCATGACCTGTTTTTCACCAATGCTTTGTCTTTGAGCCATTGGTAGCACYTTTTATGGAGCTAATAAAGCACACATGCTGAATCTCTTCTTTGGGCTTTTTACATTGAACCATTAACTGAGCTGTTGGCTTTTCATTTTCTGTCTCTGAATTTGTTCACTTTAATTTATTTCATTACACACTTCAATTCTGTACATTTGAGCTCTAAGTTCTTGCCATAAACTCCATTTTCTTAAAAGCTTCATGGTATTCCCTGGCACCACATATATAATAAGCTGTGTAATGAAGTCATTATCTTCCATCACTAAAGCATTTATCTTTTAAAATCTCTCTGTAATTTTTTTTTAGTCATTCTCTCAAGTCATTTGGAATGTAAAACTTTAGTCCTATTTTGAATCTTTTCCTTCTGTGCTCTGTACATCTAGTTACCCATTGACGTTGGTAATGCATCTCACATCTGTGCCTTGCTTCCTGCCTCACCGAAATGAAACTAACCTCATTCCTCTCACGTGGACTATTTGTCTTCCAGACCTTAGTCTGTTTTCTCCAACTACTGTTTAAGACATCGCTGTTAGATTAATCTCTTATGTACATGTGCTGGTCATTTCTTTGCTTAGAAACTTTCAGTCTTTGCATTACAAATTAAATCAAATACAGAGTCTGTAGGCTCATATTCCAGCCCTTCTGAACTCTGACTATAGCTAAATTTCCAGCTTTTTTCTGTTGTTGCCCTGTGTGTTATAAAGTCGCTTGAGTAGCTTGTAGCCAAAGTGAGCAATTTGCTGTTTTGCAAAACTCAATCATAATTTTTCACCTTTGAGTCAAATGTTTTCCATAAATGTTTATTATCTGTTGGTAAAATCTAGTTCAAATATTATTGCCTTCTTTCTGCCTTCTTTCATCAGACTTCAGCCTGGATGTAACCTTTCTTTTCTCTCGAGTCCCAGGCACTTACTCCATAACCKTTGTGTGCTACATATCCATTCTACTTCCTTTATCATTGGTGTTTCACCTTTGTTTTCTCCATCTTTGTCTTGAAATTTCCTTAAAAACAAGGACCATTGGTCAATAATTTTTAAGTTTCTTAAAATTTCTGGCACATTTAGCATAAATTAAATAATTCAAATATTTTCATCCCAAGTGATATCTTTCTGCTTTTTAACCATTCTGAATTTTCTACATCCACTAAAAGTTATTTTTACTTTTAAAACAAAACTGTAAAAATATTAGTTAAGGACTTTGGAAATAAAGGTAGCTACATATCTGCTACTGATACTGATGTAAAATTATTTTAAGTTTTATTTTTGTGGTACTGGGGAGCAAAATCAGGATTTTATGCCTGCAGGGCACATACTTCACCATTAAGCCATGTCCCCAGTCCTTTTTATTTTATTTTTCAACAGAGTCTGGCTATGTTTCTCAGGCTGGTTCAAGGTGGGACCTTCCTGCTTCAGCCTGCAAAGTCACTGGGATTATAGACTTGAGCCATTATGCCCAGTTGTTGTTGATATTTTTGTGGCTGAATTTACCATTCTGTCCTCAAATTAGAACATACATATCTTTTTTTTTTTTGCTTTGTAGAATGTAATTTAAAATTTTCTGTATTTTTATAAAAGAAAGCAATATTTATTTATTTATTTTTAAAAACTACCACTATGGTTTGCTTTATCTCTTTGCTATAACACAGATTATTATTATTTTTTTCAATCTAAACCTCTTCTCTAAAAGGAAGAAGCTTGGAACACTGAAATCAGGTTGTGTTCTCTAAGGGTTCACATGTGGAATAGGGCAAGTCAACACAGAGATAAAGTGATTCAAGAGACAATATTAGAGATAAAGCTCAAAAGAACAGAAGATGTGATAAAACTAAGACTCCATTCCAAAGAGGCAGGGAAAAGTTAGGATTCTAGCATCAGATCTCATGAGGAAAAGCAGAAAGCTAACAGAACAAGTGCAAAAAGGATCCCTAGGAAATTGCCCCTTTAAATGTGAAATAGTTGTCTGTGATAAAAGAAAAAAATTCTCAGTGTAATATAAAATGAAGATAATGGGAAACTTTTCTCTGCCATGTATATTATTCTTTCTCTTGCCACACTATAATTTATACTGATTGTGAGTGAAAATTAATCCATGTTTCACTTTTACCTGCAACCACACACAAACCTACCATTTTGTTAATTCCTGCAACTATTTAATTGCTTTATTATCAATCTTTTTATTTATTCAAATATCATAGTTTAGGTTCTCAGCACCTTTTATCTCAGCTTCTGAAGTTCATTAATGACTCTTCTCTTTGCCTTTAATCTCAACCAGCTCAAATGCATTCCATTATAGGGCTACCATATTTGTTGGTATAAGCCCCAAATGTGATATCACTCTCTTCTTGGGGCTAATCATGACCTCCAATGCCCTRTGTCCATGCTCCTTAACATGGCTCATGAGACCCTTCTTGCTGGCCTCCAGCTTCATTTCTTCACATTAATGCTTCATCAATCAATAACTGATAATTTTTGATGAGTATTGTTGATAATTTCCTAAAAAAAATGCTGACTCTTCTTTGTCTTTCTCCATTCTACTTCTCTACCCTCAATCCTCCTACTTTCCATTAAGCACTCTTGTCAGGCATTGTCCTCTTCCTAAATTTCCTCTAACCACTCCATCTCTGTCACTGTATTTATTACTAGTCAGTTTGTTGTCTCTTTCAGGACTATGAGCTTCTTGAGGATGGAACCTGTATTTCATACCCTTGTATYTCTAGTGACCAGCATGTACTAAGACTTCATGAGATAATAACTTAGTGAGTATGCAACAGAATTATGAATGGAAGCCAGGGTGAGAATAAAATTAGGGCTCCTAAAAATGAAAGTATGCAGTGCTCAGGTATTTATCCCCTGGAAAGRGGAAAACAATGTGTCTCTACTTACTCTCCTGCCCTTAGCTTTTGCTGCTCTGGCATCAGAATCACACAAAAGTCAATATTTAATATTGTATGGAGATGAGTATTAGAAAAGGGAAAACACAAGTAAAATAGAAAGGTGGGGAAACACAAACCATGGTAAAGAGATAAGGAAAGTCATTATTAAATGAAGCTTGAGTCTAAAAAAATCCAGACATGTTTTTATAAGAAATGTTGAATAAGAACAATGGGACATATTTCTATCAAATCAGCATACTATGGACCTGCTATAGTCAAGTCATAGTGTTAGATCAGGATAAATAGATAAGAAATCATAAAGCACATCATCCTGTCTTTTCTAAGTTGCATTTCATTTAGGAGATGTGGTGTAAGCTTGCATTAAAATGGCTTTCTGTAACTGTGGTTCCCCTGGTGCTCTAGAAAGTGCCTGCCATATACATAGAAGACATTGAACAACCAGCACAACACATGTCCAGTAGGTGAACCATAGCTCTCAGAAAGGGAAAGCAGCATTACTTGGTAGGTATTTCATGATAAAAGATAAGAAATAAGATGTTCATTGTACATGAATGCATACATGTCACAAAGAACTGCTAATCATACATTTGATTTTGAGGAAATAGCTGTTTGAAATACTATAATTATACTTTAAACTTATTAAGGCTCATTTTTATGAATGTATTTTAAATATTTTGGGATGCTAGAATATAGCTATAAGTAATGATTTCAGCTTACAGAAATATAGGAACTCAGGAACTTATAAAAATGAAGGATACATTATACTTTCAGACCCTCAAATACCCAAACACATACCCTATTGCTTAAAAATAGAAAAAAGTAAAATGCAATGGGAAAGAAAGTGAAAATTTTTCTTTATTCCTAATCAATTTAGGCTATATTAAGTTTTATTCATCTTATATACCAGTCTTTATTTTAAATGTTGGAATACTTTTTTAAAAATCCCTAAGATAAAAAATGGTGATAAGGATTTCTCTTGCCTAAACTTTGAAAACTCTCAGAAAAAAATCTCACATAAAATTAGTTCAGTTAGTTGCAATTTCAAAAATACTGTATTGAAATAAATTCTCCTATTCATTTCTATGGCAGAAATTAGGTGATTTATCTTTGTCATTCATTATAGACAAATTGCTAAAACAACTTTAACAAATAACTTGGTC